GGGTTAGCCTGGTGATGGGTATTAAAGAGGGCACATTCTGCATGGAGCACTGGGTGTTATGCACAATGAATCATGAAACACTACATCAAAAACTAATGATGTAATGTGTGGTGATTAACATAACAATAAAAAATTTTAAAAAAAGAAAAAGAAATCATGATATTACAGTATTACAGGCAGGAAAGAAATCATACCATTGTCATTAGAGTAAAAAAATGCTCACACTTTCTGGACAATTCAAGATCAAAGCAAATGTGTCCATCCTTAGCCAGGGAAGTTGCTAACTGATCACATAAATAGTTTATTCTCTTGCAGGGAAGTTTGAGACAGGTTTACATTTTTTTTTAATTTTATTATGTTATGTTAGTCACCATACAATACATCATTAGTTTTTGATGTAGTGATCCATGATTCATTGTTTTCATATAACACCCAGTGCTCCATGCAGAACGTGCCCTCCTTAATACCCATCACCGGGCTAACCCATCCCCCTACCCCCCTCCCTGTTTGTTTCTCAGAGTCCATAGTCTCTCATGGTTCATCTCTCCCTCCAATTTCCCTCCCTTCATTTTTTCCTTCCTTCTCCTAATGTCATCCATGCTATTCCTTATGTTCCACAAATAAGTGAAACCATATGATAATTGACTTTCTCTGCTTGACTTATCTTACATTTTTTTTAAACTCAATTTACTCTCTACCAGCTCAGAGAGAAATGATATTTAAGAATTGAGAGCACACCAATGCTTAATGATAAAGATATAACTGGCTTTTAGCACATTAGTCACACTCTACAAAGTTTGAGATTAATTCCCAGAGTCCTTTGCACACTTATTCATGATTTTGCTCTTTGAAAGGAAGTTTTTGTCATCCCTGTGCCAACTCCATTGCGAAAGGACCTTTTCATAAACGTCTTCTCGAAAATGGGCTTTAGAAAATCTAGTCCCTTGCTCCTGTCCATCCTGGTTGGGCAGCTGTTCAACAGGATGAGAAAGTAATCAGATTTTCCAGACACCTGGCAATTCAGAGGGGGGAGGAGGGAGAGAATACAGCTTTAGGATGAAAAGTTTATTTCAATAGTAACAATTTTCAAAATCTTAAGGCTGTAAATCCAATGTCTCCAACCTTTCTGAGGGAGAAATTTTGCTAGCACACAACATATACTTTATCTAAATACAAAATATTATTTAGAGCTATCTACTCTCTCGTCTAATTTTTATACTACTTACATAATTGCTGTCATTCGGGATTTGCATCATACACCATACATAATCATCTTGTTGCTATTATTTCATAAAGAATCTTTCAAGTGGCACTAATTAGTCCTAGGAAGTTTTTAAAAATTCACTAAGAAAAACAATCCATGATAACCAAACTTCAGATTTCAGCTGGACACACTTTCCCTCTGAGATTTGTCCTGGGTCATTTACCAAGGTTTTCCATAAGGCTATCTTGCTACTTGAACAATAGCATCTTCATCTTTTGACTTTGGTTCAGTTTCTCATTAGTGGTTTGAAGACCCGGAGAGTGTGGGGGTACTTAGTCTTGAAGGAAGTACATGTCTGGAACCAAGAGTTCAAATTGGCCATCGAGTATATGCAGTTCAACCCCATACTTTCCAGATAAAGGAACCAAGTAAAGAGCAAAGGGCCATGTCCCAAGGACCAGGGCTGGCAGTTCCAAAAAGTGGGCCTGACCCAGAGATCAAGTAAGAATTTTCAACATTTGTCCTGTGTCCCCTCCTTTGTGGTTTCAGAGGATGTACACACTGATGATGTATAACTGCAAGTTCTATCAATAAATGGAGCAAAGATTTATCAATGATCTGCTTTGTGGTAAATCCTTTATGTGCATCACCTCATTTTATCCCCTCAGAAAGCTCTATGTATAAAGTGGTATTATCATTTCCTCAGTTTTATTTTTTTCATTAATAAGAAATACATTTATTTATTTTTTATTATGTTCAGTTAGCCACTCTGTAGTACATCATTAGTTTTTGATGTAGTGTTCTATGATTCATGAGTTGCATATAAATGAGGAAATAAAATGGTCTGTAGGTCGGGCGCCTGGGTGGCTCAGTTGGTTGAGCATCCGCCTTCAGCTCAGGTCATGATCTCGGGGTCCTGGGATCAAGCCCCGCATCGGGCTCCCTGCTCAGTAGGGCGTCTGCTTCTCCCTCTTCCTCTGCCCCTCCCCCTGCTTGTGCTCTGTCTCCCGCTTTCTCTCTCTCTCTCTCTCTCTCAAATGAATAAATAAAATCTTTTTTGATAAATGGCTTGTAGGTGAAGCAGGGATTGGAGTGGAAACACCTGACTCCAAGCCCATTTCTCAACCACATGAGAGCAATAAAAAGAAAAGGGGGCTGAACGGTTTTATTATAAGGAAAGAAACATACTACAGACCTGGGAACAGTCAGACAGAGTTTCAGAAATATTGGTCATGGGAAACCAATCAAAAACTCTTATTTGAACGCCCACTATGTGTTTTTCCCTGTGTAAATGGAGGAAATCTAAGCATGGTATAATGCCATCTATTTTAAATCCCCAGCAAGGAGGGGCCTATGAGTCATTTCAGGAAGGGAAGCATTCCAGTTCTTTCCAGAAATACTCATGATACCACCTTTGTATTGCAAAAGAAATGCATCATTTCTGGTTATAAGATGCTGAAAACATCCCTAAAAAGATACTGATGTACTTTGCTGATCATTGAAGGGAGTCCTTGCCAGAGCTAACTTGTTAACAGAATAATATGGTATACTTGCCTAGTTGATGTACTTTATGAAGTTCACATCAAATATTACAAGAGCCTATACATTGTTTTGTCTGTAATTACTCACCTTAAACAGTCAAATTGGTACCATTGCTACATGATTGAGTTATAATGAGAATGAAATTGTCACATGCAAAAATAGAAATATGGAAAATGCACGGAAAGAAGAAAATTTCATATATGGACAAGCAGATTTTTAAGTACATTAGAAGAAAGTACATTCTTAATTAAAAAAAAAAAAGCCACACACAAATGCCTTTTGTTCAACAGAAATGTCATGAACAAACCTTCAGGAAAAGAATAGAAAGTAATTAGGAAGACACTTGAGAAAATATACCAATTTATGGGTTGTGACTCATCAACTTGATCAATATGGTTGGTGTCTTATAGAATCAATGACTCAATTAGTGTTGAATGCTCATAGGACTAAATCAGGAAAAAAGAAGCTAACTTAAGTAAACAAGTAATAGAAAAATGACAGATGCAAAGAAGACCAATAATATAAACAGCTAGATCATTATGTTTGGACTTTTATCTATTATTTAGGATTTATGTAGCATCTCATTATCCTAAAAGTAGTTTCATGAATTACATTGATTCAGTAATTACAGTATGCCAGGTTAAGTTTCAGTGAACACAAAACAGTATCAGTGACAAAAAATATTTTAAAATTTTAAACAAAGCATTGACATTAAAGCAACTGAAATATCAAGTAGAAATAGTATTAAAAATTCCAAAAAAAGACGTTCATTTTCTGAATGTTTTGAACAGTTCAATGATTAACATTAGACAATCAATATTCTTGAATAAACACATGAATTAATATTTTATGTGATATTTCATTGAGATATGGCATTTTATCTATATTCTGTTTCTGAAAAAGTTACCATTTTTATAAAATTGGTAAATTCACTATTTTAAAAAACTGATCCATTGTATTTGTAATATAGTTTCAATGGTTAAATGTTCACTTTGATCATGAGTGCACATGGGAAATAAATTGTCATGGGCAAAACTATGCACATTTTACATTGAAATGCATGTTTTTCTATGCAGAAGCCAACTCTTAAATAATTTAAAACAAATTTTAATAAGTCTAGCATTATTTTTGTCACATAAGCACTTCTTTTTACTAATTTCTTGACTCTACTTATTTTTCTTCATTGAAAGCTCTAATAATAAGAGAAATTACTTTTCTGTCACATATTCCCTGAGATTACTTTGAACTTAAACACTTAAAAGCCATCTAGTCAAGCATCAAAAATAGAGGCAAAACTCTTACCTTAGAAGGTGGAACTGGAAAACACCAGAACACATGCATTGTAGAAATCAATAGAAGTAGAATAAGGCTGAATTTTAATGAGCTGTAGGGTAGGGGAAAAAAAACCCTAAGATTAGTTTCAGTTAGGGAAGTGTAAGTAAAAAAAAAAGCATATATGAACTCAACAGTTTTCTTTGTGGAAAAAGACAGTCTTTCACCTAATCATTTTGGATTTTCCAAAATTTCTGCAGACCGGTGGTTTTATTGCCAAATTCCTCACACTTACTGTCAGATCCTCCTTGGGTGACCCTTTTATACCAGAAAAGTTCAGGAGTAACAATGTCATCACGTCTCATCATATGTGACTAATTGGTTCTTTTTTTGTTCTTGTTAAGTTGGAAAAGGCCAATAACACACAGGCATTGTCACTGAGCTACCAAGGATTGACTTCATTTAAATTTTGCCATTAAAAATGTCCTTCAAAAGCATTGTCTTCTAAACTGTGTCATTGTGACATAGATAGCTAGAGGTCTCAAAAGAAACCACAAGTTTGTTTTGCTTAGAGTTTAACACTTAAACAGGGATGGCATTATTTCTTTGAATGTCCAGCATCATGTTCCAGAGACGAACACAAAATACTTAGAAGAATGAAGAACATCTACCCTCACAATGCACACAGATTATTTAAGTTTTCCACAATGGATTTCCCTCCTTTAGGACTTCTGAGGTGAAAGCAGGGAAACAAGTATCATGTCCCTTTGTCACTGGTCACTCAAATAAAGGAAAGGCACTGCACCTATCCCTTTCCATGTGCATACCCAGAGTCCAAGGCCCAGAGTTCTGAAAAAGCTGCCTGCCATGGCCTCCTTTTTCTCTCCAGGGCATAGAATTTCTCCAGGAAGCCTTTGCTGCCCTTGCAAACCAATGGGCATCCACATTAATAAATTGATTCAGGAGCGCTAAGTGTGAACAGATGTTGCTGGAGCTTACAATGGAGAAAAACATCAAGGGAGGGGCTTTCTGCTTGGATAACTAGTGTTTCTGAGATGGAGCCAACATTTTTTGAATACAAAGCAACCAAGGGAAATCCTTGCTTCTTTGAGATCAGCACCTTTTGGAGGACAAAGCTGCCCTGTGTCTGGGACATTTGTTACCTGTTTGTCAGTGCTATATCCCTTTCTTTAGGGAACTGCTGATGGGTATGATTCTCATATAGTTGTCGATCATATAGTCACCCTTTGTCTACCACGAGGAAAAGCAGGTGACCCAGATTCTCAAGAGAACAAAGGTCACAGGGATTAGTGCCAAGTTGGGAGCTGGGGCATGTGATCCAACATATTTATCATAGTCTTTGGGGATATCACTTGGAGGTTGGGAGATAAACAGCTCTAAGAACACCAAAAACTGAACACACACATTTACTTTTGGTGTCTCTTTAAACTGGCCATCGTAGATCCTCTCTTTAATCTGACCAAGTAGATCCTGAGAAACGTTCTTATTAAAATAGTTTAGTAACAGACCATTAACAGTCTTAAGTTTTCATGGGACCAGTTGCTTTTGGATGTGGTGAAGGTGGCACTAAAAAGAAGAGGATCAGCTGGAAGTTTAAGACATGACTCAATTCAATCCCACATCCCCTCTCCACTTCCCATGTCCAAACAACTTCTGCCCCAGCAGAGGACTATAGGTCTATTCTATGGAAATGGTGAAGCAGAGTGTCTCCTGACCAAGGGAATCAGGTGTAGTGGTGTTAAGGGGTTACTTTTCTGAAAACAAAGGTTGAACAAGTGTTACACTCAGGACTGAGACCCATGGGTCTCTTTCTTGGCACAGCTCCCGAACACTGTTAGACCGGTCTTTATCCTCAAGACAAGAGAATGGAACACCTTCTCTGGGGAATCTGCCCAGCTCAAGATGAAAAACCTAGAGATACAGACATTAGGGTTCCCACATAAAAGCAGCTCAGGCAAGTGAAATCCACTAAAGTCCAGGGCTAACAGTACCCACTAACACACACACAAAAATTTATGGATGTTTTAGCGCCTATTTTTAATATAAACAGACAATTCAGAGATGCAACTGAAATGAGTACAAGATATTTATAAAGGCAGAACTGGTAAGAACAAAGAAAATGGGAGAGAAGTCCATAGCAGCAGTGTTTTATCCTGAAAGATAGAAACCAACAAACAGGAAGTAAAAGTGACTTGAAGGAAACAGGAGAGAATGCAAGAGAAGAAAACTTAAAAAAAAAAAAAAACACTAATATTCTCCCAGGGAGAAGAGAAAATATTGTATCTATAAAATAAGAAAAGAAAGCTATATAAAGCAAATCATTTAGAGGACAAAAAGGAGCTCATGAAAATTAAAACTATTAAAAAAAAACTCAGAAGGATTGAAAGATAGGGTTGCATAAATCTCCCAGACATTACAGAAGAAAAGCTAAGGAGAAAAACTAAAATAATTAAAAGAATAGTACCCATCCAGTAGTTCCAACATATAAATAATAGGGATTCTAGAAAAGAAAATGGAAAAAAAAAAAGAGAGGAGAGGGAATCATCAATAAGGAAATTCAAGAACATTTTCCATAACAGACAATACTGACTTTTGGGAAGGAAGAGACTCATCAAGTGTCTGGCACTACAGGTCAATCTGACCCATATTAAGATACATCATCATAAAATTTTCGCAAATTGCAACCTACAACCTCCAAATTAACTACAAAGATTCAGACACCAGAAATATTTTAGAATTCTCGAAAATAATGTAAGAGCTTGGAAGAGAATAGAGCAATGCCTTCAAAATTCTGCAGAAAAATGATATCCAACCTAGAATTTATTCCCAAACTATCCCTTAAGTGGAAGACTACAATAAACATTTTCAGATATGTAAGATCTCCAAATTATATTTCCCCTACACCCTTTGTCAGGAAGCATTTCAGGATATGCTCTACCAAAAATAAGAATATGCACCTATAAAGAAGAAAATGTGAGATATATGTAACAGGAGATCAATACAGGAGACAAAGCAAGAAAATTCCCAGGATGACGGTAAGAAGAGATCCCCAGTGAGACGTGCACACCAGGCCTGAAGGGCAAAAAGTCCAGATTGGTGTAGCTAGATGATTCTGGGAGAGATTTCTGTAAGAAAATGAAAGCCTTAGTATATCTGCATATCTTGAGAGGAGAATTAGACAATGGGAGAATTTGGGGTTGACTTAGTGACAAATCTACAGACAAGTAAAGAAAAAGAAAAAGAAAAGCAAAAGTACAGAAAAAGACATTTGTTCCAATTAAACAAAGTTATGTAAGAAACAAAAGTAATCACAGTTAACTACTTGACTCAGCAGAGAGTATCATTTGCATAGTTACAGTAATGTAATTATTGAACAATGATCTAACCAAAGGGTAATTTAACTAAATTGGGAGCTAGATTTTGGAAATAGTGCATTTCTGTAGTTGGGTGAATTGTCTAATTTGTACAGAAAAATTCATGCTATAATGCTGAAAAATAAAAAGTCAAAACCAATCATGTTATTGAGAGATAAATAGACAATCAGCCAAAAAGCTTGAAAGTGATGACTCTGAGATAGGGAATGGAAGAGAAGGTAGGAAGTGTAGTTTTCATAGAAGTGCCCCCCTTAGAGCTAGTCGATCCTTTAAATCAGGTGCATGTGATAAAACTGTGATAAAAGCAAAACTTTAAAAAAGTATGTACTATGGACCAGATATATCTGGAGATGCCAGAGAACATACTCACTACTATGTATAAAAAGTTTGGCTGATAAGGAGGCCCATGCCAGAAGTCAGAGAAGATGAAGAGGGAGAAAGAGGAAAATAGGAAAGAGGGAGAGAGATTGAGAGAGAGACAAAGGTAGAGAGAGGGGGGGAGAGAGAGAGAGAGGGAGAGAGAGAGATAGAGACCTGCAGGTATTGTTAAACTTCTGGATCCATACTTGAAAGCAATTTCTCTCCTCTGACACCCCATTTACATAAGCCAAACCTCCCTTTTTGCACAGACTAGTTACTTCACAAGAAAGTCTAACCACTACACCTGAGGATGTGTTCATTTACTAAGCACTTTCTATACGCTGCAGATTGCACAACCTCTTTCTCTGGGTCAGGGCAGTAAGTCTTCATCACCATTCTAAGAAGGCACTATTACCAGCTCCACCCTCGTTGAAGAGACTGAGTCTCATGGAGGTTAAACAGCCTGCCCAACATCACCCTGTTTGTGAAGGGCACAGCCAGGCTTTGATCCCAGTTCTGTGTGACTTTAGAGACCACAGTTCAAACAGTGTGCCACAGTCCCCACTCATGGACCTACAACGTCGTTCATCTACTCAGCTCTGGAGGAGACAGCACTTATGACATTCAAATCCCCTGCCCCTGACCAACCAACACACACACACACATGCACACACGCGTGACCCCTTGAAGTTAAATCTTCTGTGTCTTTGAAGCAAGATGTTAATGGGACTCTCTTGGTACCACTTCCCCATCCCATCACTTGACAATTCTTATATCCTTCATTTCCATCCCCAACCCAGGTCATGACCTGATCCTTCCTCTAGAAATGACAGTGAGTTAGCTGGTTGTCTCTTGTTATTTCCCCTACACCCTTTGTCAGGAAGCATTTCAGGATATGCTCCACCAAAAATAAGAATATGCACCTATAAAGAAGAAAATGTGAGATACTATATTTGAGAAGGACTCCTGAGCAGGGCAGAGCAGCCCTCCATAATTTTAAGGCCCACATTCCCCTTTGCATCCTCAGAGATTTTGCAAGACAACTGTCTGAGACATATTTTGCATT